AGCCACGAAGGCTGTCCATTTTCGAGAAGGCGAAGACAGCCAATTGAGAGCTATCGTAAAGTCCGACCAGAGAAATATATTCATGCGAGACAAGTCGAACGAGTTTCTTGTTTTTTCTAAGAGCTGTGACAGTAATAGTGCTGCGGACAATTCTAACCTGGGTAATGAGATGACCTTGAGCGGTGCTACACGCGATCGAGAGCAAAGCAACTCCACGCGATACCCATTGGCGGTTTCGGTTCGCAGGTATATGCAGGCGCCATAGGCTCGTTGGCTGGCGTCGCAAAACCCATGCACCTGGACAAGCTGAGGATCCGCTGCAAACTTGACGCAACGTGGGATCCGTAGTTCGTTTAGATCTACTAGCTGCGATCTAAGCTTTATCCAGCGCGACTGTATGCTTTGAGGAACTGATTCGTCCCATTGATGACCTGTTTGCCATAATTCCTGGATGATAATTTTCGCTGTGACAATAACAGGTCCGATTAATCCTAATGGATCAAACAACCTAGCTACCTCTGACAGTATTAGACGTTTCGAAGTTGAGGAATAGTCCGCATTATCCTTATGAGAAAAATGCAACGTGTCTTTGTTTTGATCCCAGTGAATTCCGAGAACGCGTGAAAAGACGTCGTCGCCGATGAGCACTGAGCCTTCTAAATGTCCCTCCGCGCCCAATAACAGCTGCGAACAGCTCGATGCCCATTTGCTAAGTTTGAATGAGCCTAACTGGAGCAACTGAGTAGTTTCCTTTATTATTAATTTCGCGTCCGCGATCGTATCTGCTCCTGTGAGTAGATCGTCGACGTAAAAATCGCGTTCTACGCATTTCGATCCCACCGGGAATTCTGATGCGTGCTGTTCCGCCAAGTATTTAAGGCATCTCGTGGCGAGATATGGTGCCGAGGAAGTGCCGTAAGTGAGCGTCGTTAACTCATACACCGTGACGTCTGAACTGACGTCATTTCGCCATAAGATCCTCTGTAAGTTGGTTTGTAACGGGTCCACCAGAATCTGTCTGTACATCTTGACTATATCAGCCGAAATAGCGTATCGATGCGTACGAAATCGTAACAGGATCGACATCAAGTCCTGTTGTACGACAGGCCCTACCGCGAGCGCGTCGTTGAGCGAAACGCCTGTGCTGCTCTTGCACGACGCGTCGAACACCACGCGTATTTTTGAATTTCCATCTGCGTTCTTGAAAACGCAATGGTGTGGTAGATAAAAGGCTGTTGAATCTTCGCTTGATTTGATGTCTGCGATTTTCATATGGCCCAGTGACGCGTATTCATTCATGAATTCTACATACTGTGCTTTCAAATTGGGAGTGCGTTGAAAGCGCCTTTCAACGCCCTGCAAACGTTTTAACGCGGTGTCTCTTGAGTTGCCGATCTTGGTGATTAGCTGCTCCTTCAGTGGAAGCTTTACTATGAATTTACCGTTTGGATCGCGAGAGACGTTATTTAGAAAATGTTGCTCACAATTGGCCTCCACCAAAGTGTGGTTGCTAGAATTGTTGTTGGAATTTTCTTGTTGCCAAAAACGACCTAGCTGTTCATGCAACTGCGCATTAGATATGGTAGCATGAAAAGAACGTACCCCTCGCGGGATGTGCGAAGAAATGCCGATTCGACCGGCTATGATCCAACCTAGTCGAGTTTTTTGAAGCGTTGGGTGCCTTAGCGAGGATTGTACTTGTCCTACACATAATAATTCCCAAAATATCTCGGCGCCTAGTAAAATGTCGATATCTGATGTTCTGAAAAACTGGGGGTCAGCCAACTTTAGATTTCGAGGAATATCGACCTTGTCTTGGTCAAGAGTTAGAGCAGGAAGCCTGTCCGTAATTTGCTCTGTTACTACGCAGTCAATAATAGCGGAATAGGAGTTCAACCGAGATTGAAATTTCAAACGCACAACCTGAGTAGACGTACTAGTTGTCCCGTTTATACCTGAAATTGATATATTCGTTGACTGTGATTTTAGGCTGAGCCTGGATAAGCACTTCTCAGAAATAAAATTAGCCTGTGAACCACAATCTAGTAAAGCTCGGCAGGCGACAGGCTTCCCCGCGGCATCATAAACGTGAATGACGGCCGTGGACAGCAGAATGGACTGATCTCCGGGGAAATTATGCGTGTGCATGACTACCGCCGCCGAAGACGAAACCGGCGCCCTTTCTTCACTCTTATTCGCATCGCTATCCTGAGCACTTGCTGTGTGTAGCAGCGTATTGTGCTTAGCTTTGCACGTTCTGCAATTGCCTGATGGGCAGTTGCTAGCAATGTGCGCGGTGGAACGCAGACAATTAATACAGGTCTTGCGTTTACGCATTTCTAAATTTCTGCAGGGCACTGAAAGCGCCAAAAATTCCTTGCATTTATAAATCGAATGGCTGCCCTGACAATAGCTGCATTTGAAATTAAGCGTTGTCGCGCACGCCGTCTGACGCCTTCCTTGCGATGATGCCCGCGCGTTGTTTTGCTTATTTGATGCGTTCGTGGACTTACTTGTGGCTTCGAGAACTTGGCATCGATGGTTCATAAAATCGAGAAGCTGCTTTAGATTTGGTAGGTCTGTATCGGACAGCGAAGATTGCCATTCGCGCAGTGTAATCGCGTCGAGTTTTGAGCTTAAAATGTACACGAGTAAGTCATCCCACTGGGATGTCGGACGCTTTAATGCTTGAAGAGCGCGTATGTGCTTAGATGCGCCGTCTGCGACTTGCCTCAGCTCGATGGAATTTTCCTTCGTCAAGGAAGGAAGCTCCATAATTGCCTTGATGTGCGTGTGCACAATCACTCGTTTGTTGTCGTATCGGTCTTTCAACAATTTCCAGGCTACTTCATAGTTAAGATCGGAAATTTCCAGCGAGCTTATGACATCGGCCGCCTCGCCTGACAGCGAAGTTCGTAGGTATTGAAGTTTCTGAATATTGCCGATTGATGTGTTCGAATGTATAATAGAGTTAAATGCGTCAAAAAAAGGAAACCACTCGTCGTACTTGCCGCTGAAAGTCGGAAGACTGATTTTAGGTAACCTTACGTGTAACGTGGACTCGCGCGTTTCTAATACATTCGAAGGCGATGGAGTGACGATGCTTCGATTCGAAGGACTGCTTACGATTAGTAATTCCCTAATTTTGGCTGCCAATCCGAAATACGCGTCTTCGAAAGTGGCACGATCGTTCGATTCGTCCTCGACTAACATTTCTAGCTGAGACTGAGCATTGCAATATTCTAACCAATAATGGTCCAGTTTTAACTTTCGCTCTTCGAGCTGTGCCGTTACCGACGGCGTAACGGAGGTAACAGCTTCCGCGTATGTCTTGATTCGCGTACATGATGCCTTAATTATCGTGCGCTGTTTTTTAAGAGCGGTTATATCGTTCTGAGACATTTTGAAATGACATATAATAACCTATCGATAAGCACGAAAATTCTGGTTGGTGGCCGAACGCGATAGTTACCCTCACCTTATGCGACAAAGCGTTTCAGAAAACGAACGTGATGTGGCGCTTCGCCCTTCCTGTGCCGTTGTCAGGAACGGAAGCTCGTCCTTGAAAATGCTGACGATGCTGACTCGTTGTTAATAATGGCGGTCGCTTGCCTTGAAGCGCCTTCTTGAAGACCGATGTGGACGATGCGGCTGGCTGCTCGACACTCCGCCCGCAATGCCGGTCGTGCGCGTGCTCGTGCGCGTGATCGTGCGCCTTGGTGCGCTGCTTGATGCGACGTCGATGATGCGGCTGGCTGCTTGGCACGCCGCCCGTAATGTCGACC